GTAGGGGGCTACCCTGTGCATTGTAGGATGTTTAGCAGCGTCCTTGGCTTCTACGCACAGGATGCCAAAAGCATTTTTCCTGATTGTGACAACTAGAAATATCTCTAGACCTTGACAAATGTCCCTTGCGGGATTAAATTGTCTTTGGCTAAAGACTACTATTTTACAGTTTCTGCAGATCTCTTCAATTTATGTCTAGCTTTATTGCTACATCAAGGACATTTGTAAGTGAAACTGGTTTTCTTGAATGTCAGTGAAGAAATCAATGACTACTGCTACAGTGTGGTGCCCCACCTTGATGTGTGCTAATGTGCCAGCGGTTTTGCCCAACATTGCTCTTAAGCACACTCTCAGTGAAAATGTCAGCACAATGAAAAAGTATTATGAAATTAATTTTGACCTTGCAGACGCTCTGGAAGAGTCTTGGGGATTCCCAGGGATTGTGGATCTCTCTGACTAATTCATAATTGATAAGTTTTGCATATTGGATTCTGCTCCTTAGCTAAAGTTTAATCAAATGCTTTGAAATCTCCTGTGGTACTGCTGATAGCTGTTGTGGAAAAACTTCTGCTTTTAAAACTGAGAACTTAAACGTGGTGTTTGAAAGCTAATGTGTACTTAGGTTATCAAGTATTTTTAAACATTTAGAGTCTTAACTACACTACCATATTATACTATCTGTACAATTAGGTTTTGTTACTACTTTATGAATTATCCTTTGAAAGTAGGCTTTAGTCACTTATTTTTTAAATGAATATTAACTGGTAAATAGTAAGTTACATGATCATTTTCTATTTCAGTGGAAAATGTTTTCCTGGTCAAGTGTTGGGTGGAAACATTTTAATATAGCGTTGTTGGAACTGGAGAAATTTTATGTAAAACAAGATAAAAACAGTTATTAGTATGTTAAAATTTATTGCTTACTTGTTGAACATAATTTTGGAAAGGTAGCATTTTTGTTGCCAAATGCTTTTTTGAAGCTTGAAAATGGATATATGTTACACACTGGTCTAAGTAAGCTTAAGATAAAATTCTAAAAGAATGCAGCATGCATATTTTTTTCATTCTGTGCACCAGAATTTTGACTGTAATAAATGTGGTTCATCTGATTCATTTATCAGTGTACTAGAATATTTAGAGGAATTCTTTAACTTAGAATTTAATGAAATAAAAAAGAGTTAGTTACTAATAATTAAAAGTACTCTCATTTATATGTGTCATGAACATTTTCAGGCAAACAGGAAATTTGAGAGAATAGTACAATGAACACTAATATACCTAACAGATAAATTTAGGAAATTCTTTATCTTTTGTTGTATTTATTTTATTTACTTGTGAGTGGGGCTGGAATGTTTGGAGCAAATCATAGACCTCATGATGTTGTACCCCCAAATGCTTAATCCATCTCTAAAAATTAAGAACTTTTCTTATATAACTGTAAAACCTTTATTAGATCTAATAAAACTAATGATAATTATTTAATCTAAGCTAACAACTAGTTCATATTCAGATTTCCCCAGTTCTCGACCCAAGTGTTTTACTTGTTAAACCAGGGTTTGTACATCGCATTTGGTTGCTGTCATTTTATGTCCTTTAATCCCAAAGAGTGCCCTGTTTATCCTTATTTTCTCTTGTTCCTTTGACTCTTTTGAGAAACTGGGTCAATGTCTCTATGGAGTGTTTGACCTTTTGAATTTGGTTGCTTGTGTTCTTGCAGTATCTCCTTGTTTAGTCCATTTCCCTGTCTTCTTTATTTTCTGTGAACCGGAAGTTAAATGCAAAGGCTTGATTACATTCAGGCTGAACATCTTTGGCAAGATTATGTTATAGGGAATATGTACCACTTTATGCTGCCTCGCATGAGAATTCACTTAATATCTGATCGTCTCTTAGTGATGTGAGACTGATCAACAGATTCTGGTGGTGACAGCCTGACCCTCTTCATTGAAAGTTGCATCTTTTCTCCCCTTATTACTGAGAGTAAAATAGAATTGGCACCTAATTAATATTCTATTCCCCATCAGCTTTTCACCTAAAGGGGTAACCACCCTTTGATAAACATTGAATCAACTGCAACATTAGGTGTTGAAAAATAGTGATTTTATAATTTTGTCATTCTTCTTACTTTTGTTACTGAAATTTTTCTGTAAGGAAGAGATCTTAATTGTCTTAGAGCTACTTATTAAATGCTGAAATGTAGTTCCCAAAGGAAAATGAAGATAAATGATTATTGTCTCCTAAATACCAGTTTTTATATTAAAGAGAAAACATAAAGTCTACTTCCAGTGGTGACAAATTATTTTGGCTTAAAATTTTTTAATGTCATAAATAACTCTTGCATTTTAATATAGTCATTAAGTTTTAATCATTGGTAAAATGAAGATAATGTTAGTATCTATCTAGCTCAAAGGATTTTTTATAAGGCTTAAAATGAGGTAATACATATAAAAAGCTTAGAACATAGCCTGATGAATGATAACCACTCATGATGGCTGATTAATAATAACCACCACAACAGTGATAATTACTATTATTATTTTAAGTAAATGATTCTGAGTCAAAGGCTGATCTTTTGATCTTTGCTATACTTTTTATAGTGTCTTATAGAAGCTTATTTGGAAATTGTTTTGGTATGAATGGCCATATTCAACCTCTAATTTTTGCATCTAAAGCAGCCGTAGTGTTAGTTATATCTTGGTTTACACCTGAACATTCCTGGGTAAGTTATGGATAAATTAATATTTGTAGAGTGAATTACATACTGAATGTACTTATTTGTTAAGGTCAACCTATTGGATTTCTGTAACACATAATATCTCCCTCTGGTTTACCTACTGAAATTCTGTATCATAGTTTTCAGGTGTCAGAGTTGTGTCTGAAATAAGATATATCCATTAACTCCAGGTTATGATGAAGATAAACTGTTGGAGATTAATGGATGTCTAGAAAGCCTCTTTGATAGGTCTGCCATAACTCAGGTACTCTGGATTAGTATTTCAGCTTCTAAATGGAAAGAATTTGAGTTCCAAAAGCTTACTGATAGTAATAATGACTAACATTTAAAATTCCCCACGTCTCTTAAGTGCTTTTTATGTGCATTAGCTCCTGGAATTCTTGTTAGAACCTTGAGGTATATAAATCATTCTCCCTGTTTCACAAATGAGGAAACTGAGCTGTTGGTAAGGGTAATTTCCTTGCCCCAGTTTACACAGTTAGTAAGTGATAGAGCTAGAATGTGAACCTAGAGATGACTCGAGAAATTTATTTATTTTTTTAAGTTTCAGTCAATATAGTCATTAGATTTTTTGAGGCTCAGATTTCCCAAACTTTAACTCTGGCTCCTCTGTCTTTTGATATAAACCCATTATGTGTACCATGCTTTATGTGGTTTTTTTTTTCATTTCTTTTGAGTAATATCTAGGAGGGCAGGTGTAGAATCATATGATAGTGTGTGTTTTACCTTATAAGAAATGACCAGTTTCCCAAAGTAGTTCTACCATTTTACATTTCTGTCAGCAGTGTATGAGCATTTCAGTTGCTCTATATCCTTGATCTTTTTATTTTAGCCATTCTAATGGGTGTGTAGTAGTATCACATTGTGGTTTTAATATTACAATTCCCTGCTAACTCATAATGTTGAGCATCTTTTCATACGGCCACTTGTATATCTGAAGTGTCAGTTCAGATTTTTTGCCCACTTCAAAAATAGGCTTGTCTTATTATCTAATTTTTTAAAATATATTTCAGTAGCATCCTTTGCTAGCAGTATATGTTGTATTTTCTTCCAGTTTTGGCATGTCTTTTCATTGTCTGAGTGATTTCTTTCAAAGAACAGATGTTTTTAATTTTGATGAAATCCAATTTATTAATTTTTTCCTCTGACTTAAGCTCCCCCTTCTCCCATGAAAGAAATATTTGTCTACCCTAAAGTTGCAAAGAATATTTTTTGTGATTTCTTCTAGCAGTGTTACAGTGTCAAGGCTCTGGTCTTTATTTTCATTCTTAACGTCATCATCTGAGGTCAGGTCCTTATTATTCCATGCTTACATTACATAGTACTACAGCATCCTAACTTCTATTAGGACCTTGCCATCTAGTATACCAGGCTCATCTTTCTTAACAAAATGACCAAGCAGAAAATTATTGTTGCATGTTAAGGTGAGACTATGATGGGGTTGGGGTTCTTACAGATTTATATGGCTAGAGAATACATGGATCCTATGAAGTAGGTCTCTGAGGGAAATGATGTGGATAAAGAGAAATAGAAAATTACCAATTGAAATACAACTTTTGATTATTTAAGCTTGTAACTGAAAATTTCATTAGGTATCTGTCTGCATTTACATCACTCCCGTACTCAAAAGGTCAACGGCTGACTGTTGCCTGAGCAGTGGCTCCTAAGTCTGACTGTGTCTGAGAATCACCTGGGAGCTTTGCTTAGATAAAGATTCCACTCCAACATTTGAAAATCTCTAGGGCGAGGCTCTCCAAGTGTATCTGATGTAGCAACACTTGAATCAGCAAGTGGAAACCAGCAACATAGAGTATAAATTACAGATTTTGTATTCTGTTAGTCAAGGCTCTTAGTATTTTGGATTTTATTCTACCCTTCAGTTTCATTTTGTATTTCCTCTCCTCATGAATCCAGCTAGATGGCTTTCTTCACTGTTCCCACAAGACTGTGCTTTATTTATTCTCATTCTCCATTGTGGAATATCCTCTCCCTTCCCTTTGCTTATCTAAATTCTTCTCAAATCCCGAAGTGCTGTCAGTTAAAAATGGCCTCAGAGTAATGGTGAGATCAAGAATGCTTTTCTGTAAGATGTTTCGGTTGAGACCTCAGAAAGATTTAAGATGGTGCCTCCCAGAGCCTTTCAGCAAGACAAAAGCACTTGGAAGAGTCTTAAAGGGATACCTTTTTAGAATCTCTCAGCTAGTCAAAAGCGCTTCAGGGCTCTTAAGTTGGCTGTCCAATAATTGGACAGCCAGCCCAAAGGAGAGAGTAGCCTATCTCGAGGAAATACTCTAGGAGAAAGATAGGAGAATTAATAGAGCAAGGCTCTCAGAGAAGGCAGCAGGGATGAGATCCAGTGTGAAGGTTAAGGGATTGATTGGACTAGGAATACAGCCCAAAAGTGGAAGAATCATGGTAGTGGAATTCCCAAGTAGGTTTAGGTTGGTATTGGTTTTACCTTGTGTGAGACTTTCTTCTGTAATGTTAGGCTTTGTGAAGTGTATGCAACAAAAGAACAGTGGCAGAGAGTGTGGGATGCTGGCAATGGAACGGGGTTTAATGGATGAGTTGGTGAACTGCTTTGGTAGAGGGTATAGGATCTGTAGGAAGAACTGTCAGAGTCAGTAGACAGCTTAGAAGCATTGTGCAAGTGGCTGTCGGGCAAGGTACTCTTTCACAGAAGAATACTGAACTGATAAAGTAATTGAGGGTTAATGTGAAAGGAAGAAAGTTGTAGAGGGTAAATAGATGTTTTAGATCCTCAGGGCAGAGTTTTTTGTTTTTGTTTTGTTTTTGTTTTTAAATATTCCTCCATGCCTAGCATAGTACCAGGAACATAGTATGTATCTGTGTTTTTAATAAGTGAATAAATATCTTTATTAAGTACCTTTTATATGCTGTGTCCAGCTGTTGTGAAGCTTACAGGCTCATTTTTTTAAATGAATAAATGCAGTTTTGGGGGTGATCTTCATGTGCCGAAGCCCCTTCCCTAACATGGACCTCACATGTAGTATTATTCCTGTGTTTGCTAAAGAGAGAGTCTAACGAGAGAGCGGATGACCATGCAGCTGAATGAGTGAATGAATGAATAAATAAGTATTTTTAAAAATGGCATTTGTTTTGGTGATATTTGCTGGACTCGTAGCTACCACTTATTAAGCACTTACTGAGTTTGGCTATCATACTAAAAGTTTTCTGTGCCAAATTATATTTAACTTTTGAAACAGGTACAATGTCTGCTTTATAAGCAAGACAACTGAGGATTAGGGACATTAAGAAATCTGTTCAAATTCACAAAACCAGTAATGTCAGAGACAGGTTTCAAATTCAGAATTGTCAAAGTCTGAATAGTCTTAAGTATTCCACTATACTGGGGTGAATTATAGTATTAGCTGTTTTCTTTTTTGTTTTATGTATGCTATGGTGTTAGAAATTTATCTTTTGTCAGTGCTTTAAAATGGCAAAGATTCCCATTGCTCCTGTTTTCTGGCTGAGTCTCCTTCATACATTACAATTGATTCATACCAATTTAATGTAGGTCCTCTTAAAAACAATTAAGTTTGTTTTTGTTTTTGTTTTTGTTTTTATAGTATGGTTTTCTTCCATCATTTTAGGATTTTTTTTCCTTTTATTTTTATTTTTTGGAGGAACTAGGGAGACTCTGGCTCTCCTCACTAAAACCCACACACATCAAGAGAATCTTTTGTGTGTTATATGTTTAGATTATGATGATGAATCAGATTATTCCAAAAATTGTGTATTTACTAGATTTTTCCCCAGTCTGAAGGCTGTTTACTTCAAAATAGTTTTAACTTAGATATGATTATGATCTCTTAAGTATTTGTCTATGCTGATTTGTTTGAACATAATATATTTCAATTGTATGTCGAGAAAGAAAGACTTGTAGATTAATTAGTCTTGTTGTCTCCCTTCTGCCCTGTGCTTTTGAATAAGGACGTGCTAAGCCTAGAGACTAAATTAGAGCTCATCTCACGGATGGATACTCCATTCCCTCCGGATCACATCTGAGATTGTTATCAAAGCTTGATGAGTTACAGTTTATCTTGTAGCTACCCTTTCAATCTTTGGTCAGAAAAAGCTATTTTCACGCTTTTATTTTTGAAAAACTATCTTTCAATTGTAGTGCTTTGTGAGAGAATATAAAATGTTGCTTTCCCAAAACTTACATAAATCCATTTCAAACTAATTTTTAAGTGTTTAAAATTTTAAAACTTTTAAAGGTAAAAGTTTTTCCTGCTTAATCACTGTTATCAAAATTAAGTTAGGACATGTTTGGTTTATTTAGACTTGAATTAAAATGTCTATGTTCAGTATTGTGTTTCTCTTATCCTTTAGTAAATTCTCTTAAACCTGTGATGTCCCTTCACCTTGAATGCCCTGGTATTACTAAACATGACGTAATGGGTCTATATCTAGTATTTCTAACTTAGTAGAAGATTTTAAAGTAAAGAGGGATTTTCTTTAACAAGAGAGTTTACTATTGTGCAGATGTCCTACCAGGTTCCCCAGGGTTTTAGTTTTAGACATTGTTGGTATAATCTCAGGTGACTAACGCAAAGTACCTTCATTAAAGTGGTTCACAGACAAAAGGAGACCTAGAAGTCAGTTTCCTCCATGAACCGAAGCAATTCCTCCTTCCTTGGTAAGATTTTTCTCGGATCAATTCTTAACATATGAGACCACACACACATAGGAAGTGTATTTTTGAATATATATGTTATATTGCATGAAAACTATTTTGCCTGAAAGAAAACTTGAATTTACCACCCACCCCCTGCCTCCACTGTGTCTTTTTTTTTCCCCTTGATGCTGTGCTTTGGTTTATAGCCATAAGTTGTTTTCTTTAGAAACAGTATAAATTAGAGGCTATGTTGATTTTCTTCTGAGTTTTTGAATCTTCAGTGCATTAAATTTCTGAAGTTAACTCTTAAAACATGGCTGCTTTCTATTTTGAAATTCCTTGTGTTTAGTTAGTTGCTTCACAGAGCTATGAAAGTATCTATTAATATTAAATAATGAAAGAGAATGTAATATTTGGCAAGTTAAGAAATTAACAATAATATATTTTTCCAAATCTCTCTTCTGAAATGTTTTAATCTCTATGTCCTTCAGCTATTCCTACAGGGGAAACAAATACTTTGAAATCATTTATTAAAAAGTGAGAATGAATGATTCAGCTTGGTTTTAAGCATCTTTACCAAAGATGAGACAGTCTGTCTTATCTTTGCCAGGCCCTATTAATTGCTTCTTTAACAGAGCAGTAAGATGAACATTAAGAACACTAAAAGATGCTTTTCTCCTCATAAACATGTGCATTCTTATATTCCTTCTCAACCCCTCCTTTCTGTTTACTTATTTAGTAAGATAACAGTAAAGGATTGTCAAATATTAACCTGCACCAGTTTCTCAGCTCTTTTCTGGTGGGATTTCTCTCTGTTTGTTTCCAAAGTCTGAGAGATTGAGATCTCCCTCTTAGCAAGAATGGTAATAGAGTTTCGCTTGTAGAGTTAACTGGTACAATCTTCCTTTCCTTATTTGAGGTATGTAGAGGCAAGCCTTCTGTATTTTTAATAAATATATAGCAAGACAATATCAATTTAATTTACCGAGTAATGTTTGCATAATTTCTGAGAGAAGATAAAAAGTAGTTTCATAGAAATTTTTGTTTCCATTTCTTTGGTTGTTGTAACTTTGAACATATATATATAAATTTTATTTAAGAATGAGACAGTGAAAGTTCAGAAAACTCACCTCTTTCCAGATAAAGGAAGATGTACAAATAGTACCTGGGGAGTACAGGGTTTTTCAATGGTCTCGTCTATCAAGTTGGCCTTTTTGTAGTCTGCTTGGTATATAGTTCTGTACTACAAAGCAAGAACAAACCAAAAAGGATATTCTCAACACCTGCCTTCAAGAGTTTAATTTGTAGTTGCAAAGTTGAAGGACAAGAAATAGGGAAACGTAAGGAAACATGAAAACATGTAAGTGAACTTTCAGTTCCCAACATGGCAAACTAGATGTTCAGAGAAAACCTATCTAGTAAGAACATCAAGCTGCTGAACACAGTGTTTTAAAAATTAGTTTTTAAAGTGTGGCTGACCTTGTCAGTTAAGTAGGAGGTGCAGGATTATTGTGAGAGGGAATCCAGAGAGGTTATGAGCTCTAGAACCAGCATTGGAAGCAGCTATGACCGGCACTTGCTAATTCCTGAAGGTCTAAAGCTTGAGCTTTAACAAGAGAAGGGAGAAAAGCCCGTGGCCCATTTATGATGGAAATTTGGATTGTCATCTCTCCACCTGAAATTAGGAGTCCTGAAGGACAGTACTAAGTAAGTGAAAAAAAGAAAGAAAGAAAAAGAAAAAGAAAAAGAAAAAGAAAAAGAAAAACAAAACCTGTAAAATACGCTCACAAAGGAAGACAGTGGTGTATTTGTCTGTGTTAGTCTTGACTCAAAGTAGAATGAGGGAAGAGAGGGACTCTGCTTCAAAAACAGAAACACATACTTATCTAGGCTTGGGGCCAGAATTCATACTTTCTCTTGGCAAAAACGAAAACACTCCCCTTCTTGTGTTATAGGTATCTTTAGGTGCCTGGAAGAATTGGCACAGATCCTCTTTAGAGGAGAGTATTTTAAACATAGGCCTCAAAAGATTACATATGAACTCATAATTTTAAAAATCAGTGAACTACAATGAGATCCTATTATGAATCTATTAGAATGGATGAACTCTAAAACACTGACAATACCAACTGCTGACAAGGATGTGGAAAAATCAGTAAATGCATGAGGTAACAAGCCATCATCAGAGAGATT